AGGGCGGCCTCGACAAAAGCTGAGATTCGATTCCCGGACACAGACGTGCAACCCTACGCTCACACGCACCCATTCGCGCGTACACACGCGCATCAGGAGTCGATTTCAAAACGAGTACTTACGGCTCTCTCAGGAGCACCGAAACGACACCGACCGGGGCGTGGCGTCGGTAGACGGCGAGGGGAGTCAGCCGACCATGAAACGTCAAACTAAACGGCGCTTTGGGCGCCCAAATACGAGGCTCAAATCCCTGCTTGAACGTCGTGTGCGTGGCACCCGCACAAACGCACGTGCATGCACGAAACGTGGACATGACGCCCCTCGGAGACTGCGTACGTTCAGACATTATGGGAAATATGCATGAGGTGTCCAGAGTACTGAGAAAGCAAATGATACAATTGTGATAAAGCGATAATTAACTCTTAATGGAGAATGCATAATTTCATGTTGATAATATTGTGTATCATTATTTCTGTTGCTAGAACGTATTGCGAAAGACATAAACGATAAATCAAAACTCCAAAGAAGTTATTTACACGGTCGTAAATAAATTTAAAACACTTTAATGTTTATGTCAACACTTAAGCCGTACAAAGTGATTTATTCGTAAAAATTTATAACAATATACAATCTATTTAGGTATATGCGAGATAATAAATCTTTCACGTATCTTAATTTTTAATTTGCAAAATAGAGGAGAAAAGATATACAATTTCCTGCTACTCGTATAATGTCGCAGGCTGTAATTTCAGTGTTGGTATGTAGGTGCACAGATATCGTGTATTTATCCGGCGTACGTGGAGCATCACACAAAAAGGGCATAATGGAGCCTGTAGTCAGATAGGTGTACATAACGAGGCCACAGGAGGGGTGGGATAAGGCACGAGGAGGCAGGGTGGCGCGCGGAGGTTGTCGAGATATAAATGGCGGGGAGGAGAGATCAGAGAGGGTTGTTCCCCCTCATCCAGAACGCATCTGCCCCATTATGCTGCCTCGGGGCACTCCCGAGACCATTAATCCTCGCTAAACGACAGCCATTTTGTACCTAAACTGGATTGCCGACTCACTAACTGGTTTTGAGGACGCTTAATAGACTACTCGGTGCTCCTATTATAGCGATCGCGCGTCCGCGCTGTATTTCGGCATCGTTTATTCCCCGTTAATGTGCAAATCGCAGGGAGCGCCCGGAACATCCCCTTCTCCGGGGTTTGCGCGCAAACGTTCGTGCATTCTGCTCGTCACGGTATTCGGTGGTTAACAAAAGTTCAGCATTTACTTAAACTATCAGTTACAAACCTGTAGGATAAGTATATCCCAAATGTATGCGCTATGTTTTACAAATAACATTATATTTAAATATAATTTTAATTATTTTATGTGTAATAGAATCTGTAATACGTCATGTTAAAATATTAAGATTTCAAATATACTCTATGCTTAATAATTTTAATTAGTAATACTAATAAAAATTATTATATTACTTTATAATTTTTATAATTAGTTATTTGAGCTTAATTACACACGAAACTTATAATTAGAAATAATTTACAATCGCAACCTGTAATCTGAATACATGTATCTATATAATAAATTCACACACGTGCGTTGTATATTCAACACAGTAGGTTTCGTCGCGGTTCACTAAACTGAATCACTTGCCAGTTAAACGATCTCAGTCGCTCTGTCGTCTAATTAACGTCAACGGTTCGGTACTACGGTGCGTCTTAATTGACTCCGCGATTCTATTTCACATCGGATTTAAACATTCTCACACGTAACGCCCGTAACATAATCCGTTCAAGGCGAGAAGAATCGCCGGGAATTACGAAAGTATCGTGGTAACAATGCAACAACACTACTCGCAAAGACCTACATCTTGTCAGCGATCGATTATAACCGAGGTTTTCTTTAATCTTCAGAAAGACAGGAATTTTTTCTTAAACCACAAAAATTTGGTTCTCGGAAAAAATATATATTTAGCGTATAATCGGATGCAAAACATGAGACTGATTTTAAGACGTTATAATATCTCACAATCCTCCAAAGGTTAATCGGCTTGTCCGAAATTTGCTTCTTTGAAGTTGGTTTGTTCTGTGGGACACACCGAGAGTCAAAAAACTTGCTCGCTATTATCTTCATCACAATGTCAATCGGATTGGTATCTTAGGATCATATATATAGATAATCCTAGGATATCGCTGGTCGTCTAGAGATATTGTCGCGATTGTATACATATTTTGTTTAGAATACTAGCTAAGAGCCTGTCATGGATACAATACCATGTTTCCTATACCGCTAACAATAGAATTTTACAAATTTTTGTTTTTTTTTAATTGTAAGGCTAACGTATCATATTTGTACGAAGTGCAATCAAATTTATAAATAAATCTGCTTGTTTGAAAAAGCTCTCACTATTTTTAATTGATCGAAATAATAAATATTTCTAATTACATCATTATTTATTAGTGTTTAACTGACGATTTTATAGTCATGAAATAATTTATGTAAATTAAATTTGTGTTACATGTCTAAAAATAGTCTAGAGATAAGAGGGAATTAAAAAAAACTGTTTTCACTTAAATGAATATTAATTAATTACGTAAGATTCAGTCATCTTAAGTCATTACAGTTTTAATTACATTATGTAAAAAATTTGTGTCGATTTCTCATAAAGTTGTGCAAAAAAGCTTATCGCTGCTTCAATACTTCATTATCTTGGCTTTTAATTAAATGTTTGTTTTTAACATGCTAATGCGACAAACTCGAATAAGAACGTCATGAAGTAGAAGACAACGTTCGTATGTTGCTCAAGGCCTCCTCAATCCTGTTGGCGACTGGCGAATGGCAAAAACCCCTATGCTTGACGGCTCAATTCTCTCTTTCTGCTTGCTCCCTGCCTTCTGGTATATCTCTTTCCTCGCGAGAAGAGCGCGCGCGTGTTGCAGGCGCTTCCCCACCCTCGCTGTATCGATGTGCTTCCTTCTTTTGGATCGGAGATTCAATATGTCGCTTTTGCTAACGTTCCAATCCATCCCTCCTATCAGTGGAACATCCCGCGATTATTCCCTCGTAAAGAGCGCAAATATTAGTTTATTTTTACTGATTTATATTATTCTTGTAGCGATGTATGTATATTTCGCGATAATATAGGAAAAAACTGCTTTTTATGAAATTATTGAAAGTATGCAAAAGAAAGTAAAATATCAGAAGCTATTAAAAAATTTTAATAGTTAAAAATCTATGTGAATTTGGAAAAAATAATAGCCTATTTCTCGAAAGATAATCGAAGGAGGGGAATATCAATCCATAGACATAGTTGTACTATGTCTATGTATCACACAATCGAGATAAAATACTTATTTCAGTAACATTTTCATATTTTATTTGTCATTTTGAAAATGAGTATCTAGCTTCATGCGCGAGAAATATTTTTTTCAATTGTTTCCCCGAAAATAATTCTTTTTATTTACAAGCACAAATTTGAGCACAAACAATTAATCGAAAACCAGATTGTCGAATCAAGGACCTAGTCACGTATTTCAACACGTCGTATCCCGCCGATAATTAAATGTGATAGACGTTGGGATTGTGCATATTACCGACAATATATAAATCCTAGATCAGCCATCGCTCGCTCTCACGAGAGCGGAACGAGGTGCCGCGCGATTTGTGTACGCGTACGGGCGAACGCGGAGGGATGCTTGCCCTCCCAGCCATGCGCTCGAGCACACAGCCACGTGCACCCGTATTGCCAATCAATTCGCGCATTGCGCGCCCGGGAATTAGACAATTAGGAGTCGTCACGTTCCGCTCGGTCCCACCGCGTTCCACCACCATCACTACCACCACCACCATAGCCACGTTCCATCGACCATCCGCGTTCTCCACCACCTCGAGACACTCTCCGGCGTCGGGTGATGCAGCCAGCTCCATCTGACGGTTGCGGAGAACTGGAAGAAGGGGGATTTCCCCTATGGGTTTCGATCCACCTCGTTGTCCGCTATTGGTCCACGTCCAACCACGAAGAACGCCCATTCTCGAAACGCCCGAGATGTGCTTCGGCTCGCGCGTATTGGTCGAGCCCAGACCACGGTACCGGTTTTGCTAGCGTTGCGGGGGCGGCGCGCACCCGGCGGTAGCACCGCAACGCCGAGAACGAGAAAAGAGAGATAGATAGATAGAGAGAGAGAGAGAGAGAGAGAGAGAGAGAGAAAGAGAGAGAGAGAAAGAAAGAGGGAGAATGGAGAGCCCCCCGGCAGAGCTCTCCACCGCGAGTGCAGCCGAGCTGGTAATCAGTGCCGTTTCCGCGGCAGTGGCGGTCACCACGCGGCAGATTACACAGATTACAACCGATTACATTTGTACTCCACTGCCGACATTTCTTTTCGCGGGACGACTACAGCACTCCCACCTTGTGTCCTCATCGTCGCGCGATCAGAGCTAGAGTACACACTTGACCGCCTTGGTGAACCGTCTAGGTCGCGACAGGTCGCGTTGTTGGTGCACGAAAAAACTGAGTGCCTCGACTGAAACCCAGAAGCATTGAAAGAGATCGTGTATCGACGTCCAAGCTTAATGGAACGTGCTGATGAACGCGTCGATGACAGCGACGAACTTTCTTGATGTTGGAAATCAGCATTGACCTTTTCAAGGATCTCATATGTCGTTACGCGGACATTGACGTTTGTTACTTAACGGTGAAATAGGCGAAATATCGTAGTGTATCATGTCATGATGAAGAAGGATCTAAGTTTAAAACGATAGAAGCTCAATGCTGGAAAAAATATTATTAGGCTACACAACACACGACGGATTAGAATAATCGTTCGTAATTAATTATAATTTATCATGACAGCGAAAGCTGTCAACGTGAGATTCATCCACGACACATCGTCTCTCGCAAAGAGAGTATTATACAGCGTAGATTCCGTTCTGCGCGCTTTGTTTAAATGTTTTTATACAGATCCGTTAAACGCTGTCTGAGCGAAAGGAGCACAAAGTGTCGCGAAAAGAGAATTGCTGTATGATAATATCAGCTGATAATCGGCAAGGATGCGAAAAGTATAAAAGTTAAGAGATAAGAAGAGTTGGATCATCATGTTGATATCTTAAAAACACTCTTCTGACTCTAATGGAGGAATCCGCTCGTGTCGGCTGGGTCATTCCGCGGCGATGCGGCGGATTCCAAGAATAACGGAGCGCGAAACTTATTAAGGTGGCGGGCTACGCCTCGGAAAGTCTACAACGTTAGCGGGTTTCGTTCAGGAATCGTGATGTGACTGATCGACACTTGAAAATGCCTTGCGGCTCGATGGCATCAATGTATCACGTCCGTCATCCTTTAACGGACGTTCGTGAGAAGCTAATACAACGACTGTTAGCTGACATTTTAAGGTGCGACTTATTCAGAGTTTCGTTAGGATTTGCAGTTTAATGGACATTGGGTACACAACATGGAACTAAGAAAGCGACCGAACGATCTTTTTATTCGCATCTTCGGATGATTATCAAGTGTAGTTTTATAAATTGATTAGAATTGCCGTATTTCGAGACTTGTGAAACGCGAGAACTTAAGAGGCCGGCACAGAATCGGCATGAGCAACAGCGAAGGCGTGGTGACGGGCCCAGGTTCCGGTAACGATCGTTTGTGCGAGGACGTCGACATGGCTACTCCGACGTCAGCATCTTCGAATCTAAAGCCACGAAGCGGCAAGATCAGCTTCAGCGTCGATGCCCTGCTAAGTGGCACGAAGAAGAGTGCCATCGGCGGCACTTTCGCGACCAGGCGAGATAACGATGATAGAATGGATACTGAAAAAAATATTGAGATAGAGGCAAGGTATCGAGAGCTCCTAATAGAACAGCAGAGACTTCAGAGCAGAGAACTACTTGCTAGGTTGAGTCCTCACGGTCTCGCCGGCTTCGGTAATCATCACCACCATCATCATCCGAACAGACTCGAGCAAGATCACCCGCCCGCTCGCCAAGAGATGCTTACAGTAAAGGATTTCTCTAGGACGAGCCACGACAAGTCGTCCTCGCCTATCAGAATAGACCAGGAGATTCCGAGAGACCGACTGACGACCAATTCGCCGAGTGGGATCGGTGAGACGATGCTCCAACGAGAACAAGAGCATATTCAGGAAGAAGACGAAAGGATCGACAGGATCACCAATCCGAGATCTGTATCGCCCGCGAGCAGACGAGAGATTCTCGACGATCGTAGTGATTCCGAAGCGAATCGCTCGTTGGAAGGAGACCGTACGACGGATCATTTGGATCTTGAGGACCATGAGATAAGAAGCGTCGGCCAGTCTGAGGATCTAAATGTGATGGACTCGGATTGCGAATTGGAGAGGGACCTGGAAACTAGCCAGGAGAAGGAGGAGAAGTCTAGCCCGGTAGTGCCTCAGCCGATTCATCCCGGAGTGCAAAGGCCCTCGCAAGGCCCGCCGTATCTCGCTGGAGCACCCGGCGCTCCCGGTTGGAACCCCGCGGGATTTCCGCATTCTCTGGCGGGGTTCGCGTGGCTGCCCCCACCCCCGCATCCGCACAATCCTCATGGACATCTTTACACGCCACATGGTGGACCTACTAGCCCGAACGGTAAAACTAGCACGAGTGTCGTGTTTAACCCTTATTCCCCCTCGTCATTTTTTTTTATCACCCGCCATCGTGAAATCATTCGCGTTTTACGCTTCTATTAAAGGTTACATCGTAATGAAATGGTTTTCAACCATTAAATAATTTTATTTAGTTTTAACCTTCTAGTATACGATTAAAAAACGCGAAATAATAATTTATTATAATAATTTAAGTCGCCATTCCTTTATGTATCGTTATTTTATACTAAAATAATGGTTAAATTTGACACTATTATAATGTAAAATTTAACCACTGTTTTATATAAAATAACGATACACTGAGTAAGAGCAGTAGCGGCTTAAATTAGATTAAATTTGACACTATAAATCCAACAATATACTGATGTATAGTGACGTTACAAGGAGGAGTAAGAGTTAAGATTGTCTATTATATTTTAGAATGTGTGAAATTTCATGCTATGTATTAATAAGCAAACTCATTCACATGTTTACGTCAACACATTAATGTTTTACGATTTACATCACTGGGCTTTGTTAAATAAATCTCTTGCAGAAAATAGTAATGATATACCGAAAATTATCATCTTTTAACTTAATATTGTAATCATAATTTAGTAGTGTGATAATTATTCGTGGAAGAACATTCTTTGAAAATAAGTTATGTCTGAGAAATTTAAAAGGAGTATGCTCAAACAAGAGTAGTTTCACTGTACTTGCTTTTTAGCTTGCGATTCTATCGGATACAATGTCGACAATCAGATAGAAAACGCAAACTCTTAATGCAACTGTTAATGCATGACACGCAGACTTATAACATTCTGCATTAGTGCCGTGGATCACGCGAGTAGGCGGACGTTATCGGTCTTACGTGCCAAAGAATTCGTTCGTACTCTGATTTACTTTCATCGTGATTGAAGCTTAAAGCTAAGGCCTTAAAACTGCCATCACGATCGACACGATAGTTTTTCCTTAATAATTTCTTCTTAACCGGAAAAATTTAACGGGCATAACAAGACTAATAGACCTTAAATATGATGCAAATTCAAGAGATAAATATTTATATTTCGACGAACACATATCATATTTTATCACAGCCATTAACTGAAGAAATGAATATTGCCAATATCAATTCAGTCAGCAGTTTGATTAAATCGTTGATTAAAACGATCCGTTGCATTCTTCAGCATATAATTCTATATTCCATAATCTCTGACTGTCGCAATCGTGTGACTTTGGGATAGAACTTGTTCACATGCAGTATTTCATACTATTAATTTAAATTTAAAAAACGATCGAATATATGACAGCTATAATTTCAAAATTATCACGTTTTCTTACGGACCAATAAATAATCGAATAAATTTTTAGCGGAAATATTGGAGATGCAAATTTATATCTATTACTGATTCACTTAAATGAAATTAACTGATAGCTTTTGTAGTTGTTAATTAATTAGTTAAGAAATTATTTTTTACGTTACCCTGTTCTTTTACCAATCAAAATTCATTTCGTCTAATATTTTTACGTTTAGTACTATCAAATGCTTTTTAATATCGTATAGTATTTGTAGACACAGAATTGTTATAGACGTGCATTAGCCATTAGTTCCAAGAACTGTACAAGAATTAGTATCGTTCACTTATCGAGGACTTTACTTTATGCGAAACTAGGTAAAGTCGTAATTTTCCTTCTACTCGATGTTGATATCGATCCTACACAAAATTGTAATTCGATCGTTTTGCAGATCTTTTTCGAATTTATTCCACAAATGTCAACGCGGAACTCAAGCTCATGTTACGATTTGAAGCGATTCGGTTCCTTGAAATGCGGAAAGTTCGATCGGTGCGTCGGGCTCGATGTCTTATATCTAGGCTATTAGGACGCATGATCGGCGCTTACAAAGCGACGACGGAATGTGTTTTCCATCGTCTCTAGTGTGATGGAGGCAGGAGTGACCACGAGGTGACGCGAGCGAAAAATCGGGCACGCAGATAAAACTCGACGTAATTGCCTAATGAGGAAGGAGAAACCTCGAAAGAGAGAGCAACTGCAGCGCGATTCTCGGGACAGGTACAAAAGTGATCAGCCGTACAGAGATACAGATCTTGTTTCATGACTGGTGGCGGATATATGGATTGTAATTGGCTAATAAATTGAGAAGGAAAGCCGTGGCGGTTCCAAGTCGCGATAATTAGACGTCGCTTGGGAACACTTCGCTGATAAATAATTTACGGTGACTTAAACGAGAGAATTAGTTGCGATTTATTAATTACCAACTGCAAGCCCTCTCGCTCTCTCTTATCTCGCGTAGAGTAGCGATTGCTTGAAGAAAATTCGATTGCTGTAAACAAGATACGAATTGAATATATATTTTGTTCGATTCAATTATATCTATTTGATGCAAAACATGACAAATGTTTAAGTCAATCTAGAATATTTTTATGTACATGAATTTTTACAATTTTCAATTCAAACAAACTACTCGCCGATTATTTGAGACCGATAAAAATAATCAGCGCACAGTTTGCTTAACTATTAGAAATTGTAAAAATACGCATATACGAAGACCCACTGACTGAATATTTATACTTATTTGTATTGAACTTCTCTCGGTTCATGTTCACTCAATATTGTCAATCCATTGGAATTTTGGCGTTCGAAATATGATATCAATTACGATGACAATGCACATTGAGCCATTATTAATTCTTCCACAATTCATAGTCATTACCATTTATCTAAGCGAGTAGAAGATTCCGCTAATGGAGAAAGATGTTGAAGTGCAAAGATTCATGTTGTCTTGTGAGTAAAGGACTCATGAACATTATTACATTGAGTCCATTCCTAATGGACAATTAAAGTAATACCTCATTAAGGTGTAACTGACACCTCTCGCACAATGAGTTAATCGTACATCGCGGTACTCTCTTCGAGGTACTCCATCTCGAGTGCTCGCAAGAGTGCAAAAGGACGAGAGTGTTCCTTGTACTTGGCCTCGCTATTCGCGCGTAAACTTTTATGCTCGCCAGGAGTCCCGTAATGGTTTTAGAGATTTCTTTCTCGGAAACAGCGTGAGTTCCTCATTACGGGTGGATATAATTTCGCAGGAACTTCGAGATTCGCAACATTATTTACTTCTAGGACATTTAACGAGGATGGCGAAAGAATCGCCTTTGAAGAATGAATCGTGATCATTTTATAAATGTTTTTGAAAAAGTCCTCATTACATTATTATATAGTTTCTGCAATATTATCGCATGGATAATATCTACAAAATTTTTTCATAATTGCGCAAATAATAAAATCAATTTTGCAACAAGTGACAAAAGAAAATTATTAGAGAAATTTGGAGAAATTTACGCAGTATAATTTTCCTTATTTCTTAAATACATAATTGAACAGTTAATGCAGCATCCATTCGCAGTGAAATCGGAAAAGGAAGAATATTAGGAAAATAGCAAGCGTAAAACTAATATATAAACGTACATGAGCACACCTGCTACGTTCATTGCTTTATCTTTCAAAGAGAGAGTAGCATAATTAAAAGTAACGCTTATAATACTCGATGTAAAGCAGCATGAATAGTAACCGGAGAATGAGAGAATATTGGAAAGACACGCGATCCCGCAGCTAATGGGAACGTATAAAAGCTGACTGCTATATGGACCCGTGTATCTCTCAAAGTGGCATAATTGAATGAAACGCATTTACATCATTTGTGTCAACCGTAATAAAATCCGGCTCAAAATATAACGCTTGATGTAAAGCGGTATTGACAGTAAATCATGGAGGGACAACAAATAGATACAATAACGAAATTGATGAGAATGCGTAAGAGCAACTACGCGTTTGTTTTCCATATCTTGTTTTCCACACTGTTTACGCTGCCGACAGAAAACGAAAAGTGGAAAAAGACGAGAATACGATGATCGGCCCGCACGCCAGCCGGGATCGCTAACAGTTCGACATGATAGAGTCATATATAACTCACGACATCCATAATGCATTCAAGAGGTCCCTGGTAAAAACTGCTCTTGTTAAAGTGGCCTGTTAAGTTTGGTGTAGCGCATTCAGCTTCCTGTGCGATGTCGCTTGGCAAAGCTTTTTGCGAACGATAACGACAAACCATTCGCCCCCTCGTCTCGGCCCGTCCCGCGTTCTTCTTATGATTTATCCCCCTCGTTTTCTTTCCGCTATTGATGCGCGACACCAATTATACCAGCACTTCGAACGAAAACCGGAGCAACTCGGTATGCACCACTATTACAATCGCGATTATCGCAGTCGTGACAGTGTCGCTTTTGCCCTGAGATGATTGTTTACTCATAGGAATTCGTTTAATTACCACGTCTTTTAGTCCTCGGTATTTTCGATAAGAAGTTCCGAACGACGCAAATCAACATTTCCTTATTGTACCTTCAATCGCGTCATTGTGTGTGTGTATTTATTTTACAGAGAAATTTAAATGTAACAATTTTTTTCCGGAAATCATTAAATTCGCGTGTATAAAATAATATTTTGCGAGAGGTAAAATAAATTTTGAAAATATTGTTTTAAATTAAATTAAACGATTTATAGCGATTTGTATTTTATTTAAGCCTGATGTTTCATTTTTTGATTAACTTGCGATAAGACTTAATCTGATGATAATGTAAAAATTGTATTTTTCTAGCTACGTCGAAGTATTAGAACACATAATAATATTATAAGAAAATCATTTTATTTATCACTTATAAGTTCATTTTAAGTGACAAATGATAATGTAAGAATTGTCATGATGACGTCCTATGTTATATCGTTATGACTTAACTGTGACTGTGTTCTACCTGAGTGGTTAATCATTAAATTAAAGATTTTGTAATGAGTATTTTTTTATTTAAAGTTATCGCACATACTACGAAACCAGTAATAATTAATCATAACTAAAAAAAAACATAATTTTTATATTATCATGAGGTTAAGCGAGCCTAAACTACAAGTCATTAACCAGAAAATAAAATACCGGGCTTTAAAAGCCCACTAAGAATTTAACCTTTACGACGAGAAAGGTTAAATTATACCACTATAGTACTAAAACAGTGTCATATTTTGAGGCAAGGAATACAACAACAAAAAATAACGAATATAAAAACAAATCTTACTCAAAGAAAAGTTGTAAAATTTAAAAAAATGGACTCCCTTCTAAAGGTTAATGAGAAAAAAATTATCTTACGTGAAATAATCCAGATTCATCAAGATATCCTTTAATTATTTTGGTAATAAAGTATTATAAATACATCGCTTTTCGATAATGAAATATCTCTTCGATATATCACATCTTCTGCACAAAAGTCGTTTCTGAAAAATTAGACAGTGAAAAGCTTATTAGCCCATTTCCATTAAGCGTTCACCACTGACAGTTATTCCAGGGGGGGTGCGATACGGGGCTCGTATATAGCCGATAATCCCCGGGGCCCGTCGCTGGGCGGCGGCTTACGAAAATTATGAATACGGACGTCATTTATAACGCTCGAACACCGCTGCCCGTACGCATTTATCTGGATTGCGCGCGCAGGAATGAATTAACGACGCCCGCCCCGCGTCCAATGATGTTCTACAAAATATTTCGGACGATTCATCATTCCATGGACGTAATTACCCGGCTCGGCCGTTCCACAGCGGCCCGACGCGACGCCCGTCTGTCGGCTAACGCGTCTCTCTTCAGCATCCCTAAAAATTCAGTATCCGTTGATGAAAGTAGTATCGTGATCGCATAAGGATTGCAGTTGCCTTCTGTAAGATTTTGCACCTCGTAAAAATATTCGCAAGAATTGTATGCTCAAACATGATTGCGCACGCTATTTTAAAGATCTGATTTTATTATATTGGTCTTATTATTGTTAGAGAATAAATTTCATGCTTTATGTTATAGTCTGATGTCCGTGTGTACATCATTATAATCCAATATAATTAAATATTAATTTTAATTTAAAACTCATGGTTTTAATAAATAGTGCATAGAGAAAGAATTTTGCTGAAGTCTAAAAATTTAGCTGAATTAGATAAAACAGATATAAAAATAATCTTTTTGGACTCTGTCTCTCTTCTCTCTCTCTCTCTATTCAAATTATGTAGGACGCTCAAACTGGTTGCTAGAATGTCAAAAATTTTTACAACATTGCTCATTGTACTTGAGATTTCTACGTAACTACTTTGATGGTCCAACAAAATTATTTTTAATTGTGATACGAATTTGAACCAATGAGAATAAATCTAATTGAATAAAAGAAATCCTACATTCGGTGAAAGTGGATCTATAGTGCTTAAATATTCCTTTGTAAATTTATATATATATTTGATTCTGTAAATTGTACGTAAAACTATTTTTAGATCTGTATCAAGCTGAATTTTTAGATACTTCAGCAAAAGTTTTTTTTATGTGCAGAAATTTATAGTTCAGCCACACACGAACTCGTTTCTTTAATTAGGCTGATTTAACGCCGTAAGACATTTGGAGATGATCCGAATCAATCTGTTATCGTCGCACGTTTGTCTAACCGAAAAGTTTACATGGAAAGCGAACTGCTTGTGTACCTATCAGAACGACAACGGCCGTTGCGGCTATGTAGCCATACCCGTGCGTGTTTCAGCGGTCGGGTAATTAACAGAAATTAATTAGCAGTCAAGAAGAACATATTGATCGGTTACGTGCGCGGCATGGCCAACTTCGATGAGCGACATGAAATCGCTATATTACCGCATGAATGGATGCGACATCGACACGTAACGACAGATTGTCCGGCTATGCGCGGATTCGCGGTGTCTTTCTTGCGCATTTTCTTTTGCAATCTCGAACGCACATATCGCGATCACTTTACTTACATTAGACTATCTTAGGCCCGTCTTTCCTCCAAGATAAGTAAACAACATTGTAACTCGAATATTAACCGTATTAATAATTCATTAGCTCGGTGACTCAAGGCAGCAAATTTCCAACATCGTTATGTTAATATGAAAACAAAAATAAAAATATATCATCGAATGGCAATAACGTGTAATTAGTGATATGTTTGATAAAAAGATCGCGCTGTGCGTTGTCACGACTCGCATACGATGTTCTTAAACGCAAAAGAAAGTGGTAGCGGATAGATCCACGACTTTTGATTCATCCAGATAGGTATTTAATTAGCAGAAATTAATTAGCGTCCCGGGAGAACATATTGATTGGTTACGTGCGTAAACCCACCAAGCTTCCCCAAGTGACACGTGAAACGGGGAACTGGCGGTGCAACGAGAATGGAAGACGTGATACCGGTGTCTCGACTGATCCGGTCGACAATGCCGGCGGCCTATGCCTTTTTTGTACTCGGTCGAACGTTAATTAGCGCTCGGAATCCACACGATGCCCTCCTCGCTGCGTCGCAAAATCGTCATCGTTTCGTCGTGCTGAATGTCGAAAACACTTTTTCACGATGCCAGCACGGTGTAGCCGTACAAAGTCGCGATGTAACTTCGCATCTGGCCGACGCAGGGCCGCTTCCACGAGATATCAATTACTCTTCCTCTCATACGAGTCGCTTATTTTGAATGCGGCGCGAGATAGTGCGGCGTGTGTTATAGGGAAATAATATGTCTAATTATAGAATGGTGCGCGGGCGCTAAGAAGAGTTATTGGCAAGCCAACTGTGATTTTTAAGAGATGTCAATACTTCATTTGGTCCCTTGTACGTCGCTTTAAAAATTCGCATCTCTAACGTGGGATATTAATTTATCGCGGTCTAAAATAAATAAAAAAATAAACGCTCATAGCGTTATCATGTAGCCCTCGCTACATATATTTCTACTTCATACAGATTATGTTATTTTTTATCTTTTATTTTTAAGTGAATTTTAACGAAGTGGTCAGCTTAAAATGAATTTACAAATGAATGACAAGGTGCGGGAATGCTGCCGGATATAATCGCGCTACCGTGGAGAGGTGGCGAAACTTTACGCAGTACCAACTAATTGCACGTACATGAGCCGATCGTAAACAACGACGGTCAATGATAATCATGCGCGCCGGATGCAGGAGACCGGGATAATAGCTCGATAATTAGGCGCCGTTCGTTGAGCATTCGAGCGCGATTTATTTTTTATGATTTAATTTGCGCCCTCCCTCCAGCCGGTACTGCGAGACCGTAATCGCTTCATCATGCGAAACCTATGAAAACGCGTCTTGCCGAGACGTTGCTGGGTGATCGTAAATTAACGACTAACGTTGCACATCCGGGATTAATTATCATTCGATGAGTGTAAGAAGACGGGACTGGCGTTTTAATAGTACAGATACAAATGTCCGCGAATATCATTATTAACGTATCTCTCTCTGTAATGATGCTGATAGCAGAGTGGTGCAGCAGAGTAATGCTATTTTAATCCCCATCTCTTCTCTTTTTAAAGAGGAATAGCGGTTCGAATCAACTCGAAACGAGAACGGGCGAGATCGAATCATTATGCTGAATGATTTTCTAATAAAAACCTTATGTTTTTCGTTGAAAATCAACTTTCTAAACTTTTTGCAACAATATCCACTTCAATATTACATTTTTATGAAGTAAATAAGGGCTTACTGGAAATGCTAATTTATTTATTAACTTTTAGTACACACGATTAAATATTCGTGTCTTGTACATTTCTTTTCTTCGAAAAACTAGGAGCATTAAATAGTTAGTTACAACATTTATACACAATTTATTTAAATGCATACAAATATTACAAATATTTTCTAAAGATGTAAGATATATATGTAGTGTAAGAATCACTTAATAATTTTATATTTTTTTTGTATATTTGTTAAAGTGATAAAAATTAACCTGAGGCACGAATGATCCATCATGTGTAGTAAAGGACCAGAAAATTATCGTGTATATAATATTATACTTACAGGATTAAAATTATTCACACGAAGAGATACGAAGTCAAATCCTATCAGAACGCATGTCTTCTCTTTGGTTTCAGGGGACTTAAGATTGCCAGGACCCGGACCAGGCCCGGTTAGGTGCACCCTCAGAAAGCATAAACCGAACCGGAAGCCGAGAACGCCGTTCACGACGCAGCAGCTGTTATCGCTTGAAAAAAAGTTTCGCGAAAAACAGTACTTAACGATAGCCGAAAGAGCGGAGTTCTCGTCGTCTCTTCACCTCACGGAAACGCAGGTGAGACGCAGTTGACATACGAGTAATTAGCTCTTTTAGCAAATTGAAAAAGTCTCATTTTATATAACGATCTCCAGCGAACCATTAATGTTCAACATAAATGTATGTCAAGAAATGCTATTTATAAAAGCGTTCCGTCATAAATTAATACAAATTGATCGTATTTAACGTGAAATGCATGAGAAGAACGTATTTTTACTTATTACCGAATAAATATAATACAAAACGAGTAAAAATAGAATACACATATTGACTTTAAAACTGATATCGAATCAAATGTAGGGTATTCTTCGATTAACGAGCTTATTGATAAAAGTCGTTAAAATTATCTGTTTATATTTATTTTATTGAACGATAATAAACCAATCACGCGTGCTTTTAAGGCGAAAGATGGTACTATCGTGTCGGAAATTAATATTTACACGTTTTTAATATCTTTACGCTCGAATTAACAGTTAATTGTAAATTTATCTTTCACGAAAATTATTATTATAACATGTCGCGAATATTATTATTATTATAGTATCTGTGCTCTTCTCCATTTGGACTATCGTGATTCTTTGCCATATATGTAACAGAGTAGGCTATTATCGCGCCGGTTAGCGTGCTAAGATACACTTTGCGCATTCGTTACAATGCATCAGTCGAAATGAAGCTACGTCGTACATTCATTTGCTTAGATAAGCTACGAATACCCCGCCATCTCCTCGTGTCGTTTAAGTCGCCAAACCATTCCTTCGATCGCGCTCTCTTCTCTCTCATTATTCACCACGGACAAAGAGGTATGTCTACAATTCAAATCGTGACACTCAAGCTGTGGTGATATTCATCCCTATGATCACACGTAGTAACTTATCACTTGATTTTTTTGACGACGAGGAGAAAGCATAGACAGTTGACACTCTTTTTGTATTTATTAAATGCTTAATCCTGGAATCAATTTTAATTCATATATTATACAGGAATGTAATAACAATTTGGGTGTTACGTTCCGTTTTCTATCTTAATTAGGCTTAATTTAGCCGAAATTTTTACACGGAAAGAACAATTTCGTTGAAGTATCTAAAAATTTAGCTAAATACAAATCTAAAAATACTTTATTATACTATCAAAATAATTATGTAGACATTCAAACCAGTTACTAGAATGTCAAAATTTTTTGCAACATTATTGCTCATTAAGCTTCAGTTTCTTATATACGTAATTATTTTAATAGTTCAACAAAATTATTTTCAAAAAGCTATATCTAATAAATTTTTAGATACTTCAATAAAATCATTCTTTCCATGTAGCTTTCAATGATTTATATCAAGTAAAGTTCAGTTACGTTAAGTTAAGTTTAGTTGACATGGGTTTTCACAAGTAATTTGAAATTGTCTATTAAAATTGAAACGTTTTCTAAAACAGTTTAACAAAGTTTTTACATCGTTTTATTTTTCAATGTTTTCTAGAGAACGTCTGAATGCACCGTAATTATCCTATTCATGTATATTGCCAAAAATAAGTATTCATTAAAAGCTCCATCGATGTAGAATAATTTCGGAGACCTTATACTTTTCATTCTCGAGCCAAAAGTGCTACAAATTAGCCGATTCAAAGCGACAACTGCGTAAATGACGCTCGCGGAACGACTGTGCAAATAACAATTAAACGCGATTTAATGCTGACCCGACACGTATATCTGCGTGTATAAACTCGAGTGTTAGGCGTGTCGCTGTCTTATAACATCGAGGACTTCTCGATACGTCGATAATTTCCTGGTGAAAGCTGATGTTCCACCGACTGTTTTGTCTAACGACACGCTAAATGACTCGCATGCGTTTTACGCAGAAAATCTTTATTTGTTTCATACCACGTTCTTGGTGATGACGCGTTAAATAGTAAAATTACTGCGTAATTTTATTAATTATGGATTCTCAGACGTTTGCAGTAACTCGCGCGGTTTGAATATGCTATTTGTCGATTGTAAATCTCCAGCCGCTGGTGTTAAACGCGACCTCAACCAATAATGGCACTTATGTAATGTTTGCAGGTGTGTCGCATGGTATAATGCAACACGACATTAGAATCTATGATTACTCACGTTGTTAGGTATCTCACGAACCAGTACTTTTAATAATTCATGGAGAAAAGTTTCGTTCTCAAATTACTGACTAATAATACTGCTATGTGTCGAATAACATTGCTAATAATAATATGTAACAAAAATCTTAATTCATTTGATTTGATTTATATTTTATTTTAAAATACTATTGATTCTGAAGAGTATTACCGTTAATGTTATAAAAATGTTTAAAGCTTGTATTATTAAATCTCAAGTTGTGCACCTGAGATATTTGAGGAATTAATGAAAAAGCGATATATGAACCAGTTTTGTATAATATCAGTTCGTTCGTTACTGCTCTAAATCGAAAATACTGTAATGTTTCAGGTGAAGATCTGGTTTCAAAACCGAAGAGCCAAGGCGAAGCGGCTTCAGGAGGCGGAAATAGAGAAGCTAAGACTATCCGCGAGGCCCCTGCTGCACCCCAGTTTCGGATCGGGGCTGATGTTCTCTGGGGTGGGCCCGCCTGGTACCCCAGGAGTACCTCCTTTCATTGCAGCTGCCATGGCTAGGCACACCCATGCCGCAGCAGCGGCGGCCATGTTCATGGGGCCGCCTGGGCACCGACCTTAATAATGATATTCCAAGATATAATACGCGTGTAATTCGAAATCATTCTTAATGTCATCGTCTGAAGATCCAACCTGCTCACAAATGGGATCCGATAACGCAGAATCTATGAATTGTCAAGAATTCATGGAGATATGAAAATCTGCACATTTATTTAAGAATCCGAGAGAGAATCCAAACTCCGGGAATTTAATTCCAGACGATACTCGCACGATAATTTCGAGAAAATTAGAATTCGAGAAAGCGAGGATTTACGAAGATAACGAAAAACCTAAGAACTTTGGAGATTTAAAAGCTAAAGAGATCGAAAATTTGGAGATTCAAGAAAGCAAATGCTAAAAATTTAGAACTCAAGATTTCGAAAACTTCAGAAACCGAAAAGCTGAAAAAGTCTAATAAAATAATTAATAATAAATCCATAAAACGGATTTTAAGTGATCTTTCTTTTACGTGAAGCAGGAAAATTGCCTGAAGTTTTTCAGCCACTCTTATTTATTAGTCCACCTTCCGTTCGAGTTTAATTGTCCAATCTTCTACCGATACCAAGGATATTGGGATCTACCATTTAACGTTGGAAGTCGAAATTGGCTAGGAATGGTTATATAGTGACAATACTTGCGCGTTAATCCGGACGGCTTATCTCCAGAGGAATACAGATAATCTGAATTTCAATACGTTAAGTCCGAAACTATCGTTTGGGAGACTTGTAGCTTGAAGAAACATCGTCGCGTAAATTTCTCGAGACGATGGAATACGTATATATTGGCGCCTCGAGAGGTGCACGAAACTTTGATCTCATCAAGAAAAAGCACGAGTGTACATAGTGTAAATAGATACGCGTTCGTACGATAACTATGGGTGTACGTATGTATATACACACGTGTACAGGACGCTTCGATTACCGTCAAGAAGAGGAATCGCGAGGAACGAGAGCGTTAGTTTTAACGATTTGAATCGCGCTGGATCTAGCAAACGTTCGTTCACAGATGTGTTTTTAATATGGACTGATCGAGAGAATGCAGCGACGTGAATGTGCGAGGTACGTTTAAATAATTCCGAGTCTGAGAGCATTAATAGAGAAAGGGTCGAAATCAAATATAATAGTCGTTTCTCTGAAAGTAATTCCTCATATTGAAGAAAATAAATCTATTCATTTATATTAGAATTTTTTCAAAACCTAAGTCGTAAAATTTTCAAAAGTTGCATCGGTAACATCTCTAATAGCTGCTATAAATAAAGGACGGACCATTGCATTGATTCCTCATCGGCAAGTATACAGTTCGTAGTTCACCTAATCTCGATATCTTTCAGACTTATTAAATTTTGTTTTCTATGCAAGAAGAGAGAGAGACAAGACAAGTGCGTGTAAATTATGTATCCGCTTGTGTCGATTGTGAATCGGGGGAGACGCTCATAGACAGTAAAAGCTAACGTTACGAATGTGGCGTGGTTCTAGACGTACCTATGCGCCTTGTATAAATGTAAGATGATAATTTATCCATGGAAGTATATTATAGTGAAATAAAAGATTTCAGTATTTATGTTCTTTCCATCGATTTTTCAACCCACGATGAAACATTTACGAATTCTATGCACGGATGAATACAGATAAATTGTAGAATAAAAATTTATTTTTTTAAGTTTTTAAAGTTAACAAAAAGTGCATAAAAAGCAGTTTCCTGGAAAGTCAAGAGAATAAGCAAAAGAACGTTATCAATTCGAACAGCTTTTCGCGATTGACTAATTTGCAAATAACAATTGATGCAATTGATCGAGCGTAACTTTTCAAATAAGGCATCATATTGAGGCAGGGCAAAGAGAGAAAAAAAATATGCGCGGGCGATTTGCCCCGACGCGATCGAACGTATCGCACAGTCATCGACAGGTCGGCTTCATATATGGCAAGTAGTCGATAAAGCGGCCGAAAGTGTCCGCTAGATAATTAGAAATATGTTAATCCGCCGTGGCTGCTAATTGGTTTTTGACTAAATTTTTAATTAAGTCTTAAGCCTGGGCGGCACTCTGATTTATCGAAGAGAGAGAACCCGCCGCTAATTATAAAATATATATAGAGGAGACGGTACTAACACACACATACCTGCGGCGAGACAGCTCGTTTGCCGTTATCATATTTGTGCGTTGTGTCTTCGCCGTGTGCACCTGTCTTGTTTTACGGTGTGTGGCCATAGGCGCCTGCAGAGCCCGGCGTTCTTTTTTCGGCGACGCGCAACTTTCCAGAGAGACGCCGTACTGTCCCCGATAATTGCCATGTCATCTCCGTATTTTATGCAATCGCGCGACGTTCGGAGGCGTCAATGGCTCGCGATGTAAGATTTACCAATATTCCGGGATAATTGATTTGCAACGATTTCCCCTTATATAATTTTCATTTGTAAAGTGTCTATTTGGTAATGTCATATATAAACGTTACTGAAAACGTTTACGAGAATACAATACGAACCAATAGTTGCGATAGCCCCTACGCTGAAAAAAATTTACTAAATCTTAATACATATTTCTTTGAATAGTATCAAGTAAACATTTACTTATAGTAAATAAATATTTACTCAATAAAAATGATAGTTAAATCAAATTAATGGTTTTCATATCAAATAAATATTTATTTACATTTAATAAATATTTGCTAAAAACTATTCAACCAAATATTTATTAAAATTTCTTACTTTTTTCAATATATAATGGCAATAGTGACAACAATTTCTTAACAAGGTAAACAAAGAAAATTAGAAAAATGATCTTCCCTATTAGATTTAGAGAAATTAGATTTGTAGATCCTTAAATCTTTCAATCTGTAAATCTTTGAATCACGCATTAAATTATCGATTAATTGAGAACGATCGGATTCTTCCATCAAATCAGGAATCGAACACGCAACGAGAACAACTCAGGAACCAATCATGAGACAGGTGGCAAAGCGCAAAGAGATCCTTTAAGAGCGACGACTCGCCGTTAAAGGTTTTACAAACAGGCGCCTGATATTCGCCACCCGTGTAGATCGGAAGCTGTTCGAAGATCCCTCGTTTCTCTCTTTCTCTCTGCTTACGTTCTCTAAAGCCGTGGCAGTCGCCTCCGCTTCTCGGCCTCAGTCGGCGCTCCCATATAGATAAAATTTATGTACCGAACCGACCGATCCTACGCATACGGTCACATTGAGCGCTGACAATTAATTAAAGAATAATTTCTTGTCTTCACGATACGTGGAGGAGCGTCGCCAGTTGGCGTCCAATTATGCTCTCGAACCGGAGTGGAATACCAAGCAGGTCCATCGACGACACCGGACGCCACGCACTTCGCCGGGTAGTAAAGCTCGTCGGCGAACAGCCGCGCCGCTAACAATGTGATTCATAAAACGTAAAGTCGCGCAGGAGAGGAATAACGTCTGCGTCTTCATTACGTGGAACAACGGATATCAATAACTTCTTCTCCTCTCTTTTTCAATCTCGGAGCGTCGGCTTCAAGTCAGAAAACTTTCAGCATAAAACAGACTTGAATTTTTCGTGTTTTCAGATTTTCGTAACACCTGATTTTTAATTTTTTACAAAGATTTTTAGTTTTCGAAAGATAATTGTATGTTTTATTTATATCATATTCGAGTTTTATATTATTTTTTGCCGCACGTCGAAAGTTAGCAATAGTACACAAATATGCGAACACACATTTAAGCATTAAGACAGAAAATATTAAAGAATTTTTTTATTTTCAATATGTTTATATTTACATTTTATTTTATTTTAGTTTACTTGTATAATATTTCTGATTACATAAAAAATATACGCGGTTCACTTCCCTATTCCTGTTCGGAGAACGTTCTCGACGTATTTTAATAACATCACCGACGCTATGAAGTCAAATACGCCTGTCAGAAAGATTCAAGAAACAAAACAAAAACAATATGTGTTGAATGAGATGGACCGAAAGAGACAGGAGCGGAGAGTAGAAGTATTCACGGTTAACGCGTGCATCGAAAGCAGGTCTCCACTCATTCAGTTTATCCAAATTAATTGGTCGTAAATTAAGCGGGCCGGTCTGATGAGCGGGCGAGCGGTCTCGATGAAGAAAACAGAACGGTGCCGACTAAAGCTTCAAGAGGAACGGCTAAATACATAGTTAGTAGAAGAGAGACAAACGAAAGGAAAGACGAAAAAGGATGCGAATGGGTGTTAAAAAAATGAGAAGGAGAGAGAGAGAGAGAGAGAAGAATAAGATAGATGAAAGATTAAAAAACTAAAAGAGTAAACTAGAAAGTGGGGACCGTCCGGGGGACAGTAGAGCATCGACACGCCATTATGTGGTGGCTGGGACTAATTTATACAAGGGAAAGACGAAGACACCACGGAAAGTCAATCGCGCAGTCGAAAGAGAAGGAGACCTCGGTGGCATTATTCAAGAGAAGGAGCCTCCATCCTAATTGGAAACCTGCCACTGTTTCAATCGGGTGTACCGGTGCTCGAATTCGTGTCTTCCGCCGGGAATTACGGAGAATCCGAAGCGAGAACTATTCCGAGGAATAAAGCAAGTAATTATTTCTGTCGCAATTTTGATCGTAGATTTATTTTCCGCTGAAGATTTTGGAGAATCGAAAATAGGAACTATTTCGAAAAATAAAGTAAACATTATGATTTTTTTTCAATCGTAATTTTATCGTACATTTGAAGATACGAAAATAAATAAGAAAATAAAGAAATAGAGAAAGTAGAGAAAATATTTGCACAATATATGCGGTAATTACCTATATTCTTTTTTGTTTTTTAACATTTATTTTTTTACTAATTATGAGAGCATTTCAAATATAAATGAAGTTTTAAATATAATTTCCAGTTTTACGTTTCTGCTGTGCTAATTTTATACAGAGATTATTTTGATATGGCATTGAAGAGTAAGGCATACATCGGCATCTTGTATACTTTTAAGGATACTAGGCTTCGGAATCGCGTTCCGATACAATCATAGAATAATCGCGTCGTCGCTCGAAGCACCAAGAATCAGGCGCATCGGTAAGCGAGAACGCGGATCATGTGACGTTACCGGTAATTGCCGGCAAGATGAATCGAGACGAAATCCCGTTTCCGACTTCGTAGGAAATTTACGAAGCCGATCGAGGCATCGAAACATTTACGGCGAGAAAGTTATCCGCTACAACCGCAAGAAAGTCGCGATCGATGCAAACACGTCGCGGCAATCTCTTCAAAAGTACCGAGGTATCGAGCTCCTAATTAGGTACAAGCTTGATGACTGTTCTTACACGTATTAAGCGATAGAGCAGCAAACACTCTGCAGCAAATAAAATTCATAAGTTATTTCGTTTGCCTCATTGCATCTGAATTGCGTCCTCTCTCAAAAATTTTTTTTGTAACAAAAATGCCTTATTTTTTTATGAAATTATCCTAACTGCAAATATTTAACTTTACATTACTCCCGTGATTTTTTTTTTAATGTAATTACTTACGTGGGGTGTTTCTGATACTACAACATTATATCTTAATTTTCATTTTCTCTTTGATGATTTACAATTAAATAAAGATTAATAATATTCTATAATTCTTTAGAGAAAAATAAATGCCAAATTTTTTTTTAATTGTGAAAGTTTACATTAAATATGTGTAATAATGTGTAAAGAGCAATTACATTTAGCAAATTGGTAAAGTGCGAGCGTCTTGAACATTCCATGTGAGTAATAAAGGGTTAACTGCAAATTTCAACGTAAGTTTCGAAAATTTTGTTTGCGGAGGTAAATAAAAGTTGGTTCCATATAGAAAGCCCTAATAATTTAATATCAA